CCATATTTCATTAGCTTTTTCACAAACTGGATGGTTAAATGTTAACAACCTATTCAAATATCTATTCCTATCGCTAATATACATATAATTAATAGTTCAATACCATCATATTTAAAAGACAAACTCATATTCAGAACATTTTAACATTAACCATGCCTCGTCATTCTACTGCAATTTTTAATCGCAGCTTCTCATACAATGCCGTTGTTCTGTACAACAGCCTAAACACATCTATAAAGAATTAAAAATCTCTAACAGCCGTATGAATAGTCGATCGCCAGCGACTCGCCAGCGATTCGCTGGCGATCCGCCGGCGAAAGCCCAAAAAGCTGGCGGCTCGCCGGAGATTGTCACCGGAATGTCATTTCACGAAAGTTTTCATGTTCTTTTATAGGGAATATCACCGGTATCTCTCGCATTTTATTCATGATTCATTTCTTAAAACTCAAAAAATAATGAACGAATATCAAATTTTTCCCTATAAAAGAACATGAAAACTTTCGTGAAATGACATTCCGGTGACAATCTCCGGCGAGCCGCCAGCTTTTTGGGCTTCCGCCGGCGGATCGCCAGCGAATCGCTAGCGAGTCGCTGGCGATCGACTATGCATACGGCTGTTAATGTTTTTAAAAATCTGATGTGTCCAACACATGACTTTCCTATCTAGTTATTACAGGCTTTTTCCGTTTATTGTGTACAACCTATTGCAGCATCTCTATAAATGTTTAGAGGATAAACTAAATATATATACAATGTCCACATACATCTACCGCGAAACATTTTTCTATAGATATTCATTTAAAATGAAAATACTGAAAAATTTAAATTTAGCACTTTTCCTACAATTTTTCCATTACGGTCCATTTAAAAAAAATCATGTATGAACAAATATTATAGAGATCGATATCGCAAACAACTTTTATTTCAACAATTTTCATAAAAATCAGAATTTTGCACATTTTGTCAAATTTCTCGAATACGAACCATTTCAGGAAATTTTTACATAAGGCAAAAATTATAGATAATAATATTAGAAGTAACTTTTATTTGAACAATTTTCTTCTCCAAACATAAATAACAGATATATTCCATAAAATATATAAACGGCCTCCCATAAAGTACCCCCCCAGATGTTCCGACTTTGTCCAAAATCTAATCATTTCACGTCAGGCCGAAATAAAACTTAAGTTTAAAATTTATTGATTTTTTCTTTATCCGTTTTTGAGTTTTCTTCAAATTTCGAAATTTACACATTTTCTCAAATATCTCGAATACGGTCCATTTTAGAGAAATTATCTATGGGACAAAAATTATAGAGAATTATATTACAAACAACTTTTGTTTAAACAATTTTTATAAAAAAAAATATTTTTTACATTTTGTCAAATTTCTCGAATACGGACCATTTTAGGAAAATTTTGTAAATGACAAAAATTATAGATAATAAAATATGAAGTAACTTTTATTTAAAAATTTTTCTTCCCCAAACGTAAATAACAGATATATTCCATAAAATATAAAAATGACCACCTATAAAGTACCCCCCCAGATGTTCCGACTCTGCCCAAAATCTAATCAGCTCATTAGACGCTGGAATAAAGCTTAAGTTTGAAATTTGGTGTTTTTCCGTGTATCGGTTCATGAGTTATGCGTTATACAGACACACACACACACACACACACACAGACACACACACAGACACACACACACACACAGACATCATCGCTAAAAAAGGCAAAACGGATTCAGGGGACCTCAAAACGTAAAAATCCGTCGAAAACTCGAGGTCGAAAAAAATCATGATTCCTATACTTTCCTTATATCTGTATACAGATAGGAAAGTAAAAATACATTAAAACGACAGCTCTTGGTCTCCCAAAGTATTTAAGTGCAATTATTTAATTTTTTTATCTCGTTCGTTTTTTGTGAATAAACACACGTAGGTAATTGTTTCTTCTTTTCAAATGTTTTAACTAGAATTTGCTTATTGTAAAAAATGTATTTATTGATTATTTAAACTATGTATAGAATTTATAGGGTTAGATGTAAGAATAGTCTTAGGCTAAATCTCGTCCAGGCAAATGTACATTTCTATATATTTTTTGTATTTTTGGTATGTACAAATAAAGCCCATTTATTATTATTATTATTATTTTTTTTTGTGTGTCATCGGCTTCAACTGCTAAGGTTATTTCGCCTCCTGTTCTGTGTAGGCTTTGTTACTGTTTCCCAGCGCCACTTTAGGAACAGCACTGTTAATTAGAACCCAACAGTGAATGGTCGAGTGGGGAATCCTACCAGAATTAATTTTAATTAATTAAATTAATTTAAAAAAATCCCGGCCAACGGTGGGATTCGAACCTGGGACCCTTGGATCCACAGGCAGAGACTCTACCACTGAGCCACCCACCTTATTTCGGATCTTAGAACATTATGTAACTTACAATACAATCAAGTATATTTTACAACTGCCACTAACTGCACTTGTAAGTAAACAACTAGATTAAAATGTCAGACAAAAATTGTTGCAAAAATATTATCCCCTACTAGATAGGCTGAGCAGAAAGAAACCATCCCTCGTATATAAACAGATTGAATATCTTGAAGGATAAATCAAAAAGCACAAAAACGGGTACATTTTTATTTCATCATATCCTCATCTGTCATAGGTACCTCATTCCCCTCCATCACCCTTATCAACATAATTTAAATAAAGAAAGTATATGACTGTTCATTCTTGTGTTACTTTTGATTTTAGCGCCCTCTTGAGGGATAAAAAATTGCTACTTATTGTAAAGTATGAGCTAATTCTATTAGTAATGTATAACAGTGCTGATAAGTTCATCCTTCGGTCCTTCCTGCTTTGTTTGCATTGGAGTGAATAGTAAATGGCGTTAGCATGTGCAGGAGAGGAAAGAAAGTAGTATCAACGTTGCTGCGTTATTGACTGGTGACTCAACCTGACTGGCAACAGTTTCATTTCCTGCATACGCTAAAGCCATTTACTCTTCACTGTAACACATGCAAAGCAAGACTGAAGGTTTATAGGAATAATTAAATGTTTAACAAAAGAAGTAGGGATACCGAGCTCCACGGGACTAAAGTGATAAAAGAGAGTCGATTACCTCAACAGCAATCTTATTGGGGAATCGAGAAATTTAAAAAAATTACTACATTTTGTAATGAATAATTGAGCCGTTATTTATTTTTCGATTTTTCTTAAAATGTGATAAACAAATTGCTCTTAAATATATGTAGTATTTTTTACAGTTTTTACTTGATCTGTGAAAGTTCCATTAATATTTAATATAAACAGAGCTGGGCAGCACTCGAGTAAATTGTACTTGAGTACTCAGAATATACTGAGTAATTGGTACTCGTGGGTCATTTCATCCTGATGGGACTCAGTACTTGAGAATTATTTAAGATACTCATACTCGTTACTCGATTTTTTCATGAGTACTGTAAAATTTGCAAAAGTACTTATTTGCTTTGAGTATTATTCATACAGCATCGGTATATATGAGAGGTATTCGAACGAGCCTGAAACGGCGCTTGACCCGAATTAGCACGTCAAATTATCTAGCAATCTCAACAGTCAATGTTGTCATTGTCTAACGGTAAGGGCGTTTCTGTAAAGATCTAATATGTCTGGGTTCGAATCCTACCGGCGACAGGTTTTTTCAAATCTCCAAGTATGTGCTTTTACCTTTGGAATTCAGAGATGGTCTTAATAATTTGTAGAGGGATTTTTGAGATTGTTCAAATAAACGATTCAATTATAAAGACAGATTAATTTTAAAATTCCCCGAAGGGCCTGTTTTTTGCAATTTTCGTGGTCCACTTGACCAAGAAACAATAGGTTTGTTCCAACAGCTTCTTTCTGATGTGTCTATGACTCGTGCATGGATGCATTCGTAAACTAATCACCGCGCATGTCAGTCCGTTTAATCTTCCGTTGTTTAATCAGCGACTTGTCATTGTTGGAACGCAAAATTCAATGGAGTTAGACAAACCACCCACACGTTTGGTAAATAGGTTTTTTAAACATTATTTAAAATACAACAAAATACATTTATTTAGCTGTTTCGAACGATCTATATGAATGTATAATTTTGAAAGCTTAAGATGTTTATTTTTATTAAAAATAAGTACGTATTTTATATAAAAAAAAACCGTACACAAGATAAAAACAAAAATTATTTATTTCAATTGAAATAAATAGAAACCCAAACTACTCCAAGCTAACTTAAAATCCCAACAATTACAAACAAATAGCACGAACGAGAAGAGACTTTTAAATGCGCATGTGCTGATAAATTGTACAATCAATGAAGCTCTGACTCATACGTTGGAACGTTTTACTGACAATTCATCGGATTATCCCAATGAACTGGCGTGGGGTAGAAAGCCAATGTGCATATTGTATCAATAGAACAAGATGTGACTCTATGGGCGCAGCCATTTTTATTGCTCATCTCACTCGGGACCATTTGTAATAACCATTTTCTGTTTCACATTGTTATTATTCAATCCACAAGCTGGTGGATCAGCCAATAACAATGTGAAATAGAGAATGGTTATTACAAATACTCCCGAGTGAGATGACAAATAACCTGTCTGCGCCCATGGAGTAACATCTCGAGCCTATTGACAAGCATTTTACCCTACTCCAGTTCATTGGATTATCCATGGATTTGTTGGAACGGGCTATTTTCAATGCACAAGCGTCTGACGTCTTTCTGATGATCAGATTAGATGTTGGAACAAACCTAATGTTTTTCTGTCGACTAATGCATGCGCGAAAGGTAGCATTTTAAGCAGTGCGTTCAAAACAAAATTACTTTGCTTGCTCAGGTCAGTTGGTTAAATAATAAGAGATAAATCTGAAAGGTTAGTAGAGTAGATCATCCATTTGAGTTTTTCTTTCCTTTTTTGAAAGATTAGTGCTTCAGGAATAAAAAAATATTGGATAGGAAGAAATAAACAAAAACTGTATATTGTCAGTATATTTAAATATAGCAATCAAATTATATATCTTTAAACATGGTTTCTACAAAATTTAGTTTTTCTCGTACAAAGTGTGAGTGTTCCTCGATTTCAATGTTTTCCTGAAAAAAAAAAAATCACTAGAATAGCTGACGACCGAAATGCTGTGGTAATTTCTTTAGTGACTAAAATTAAAAAATTCGTATTTACTGATGTGCCTACTCTGGCGAAGCCGAGTTTACCTACATCTATCAAACAAAGTCGACAGTAAAAAAAATTATACAGTTTGTAACAAAAACTTCATAAATTAAACCAGCAGTGGGATTATCATCTTTCAATGCGGCACATGTCGAGACGCCTATCTTCGTGCAAAAGAATGCGATTCTAATGTAACGTGTTGAGTTCGCACATAAGATGTCCTGATTTACGCAATATTAGTGATGACGAAATTTGTGCAGTGGCGGTTTGCCCGTAAGGGCACTTGGGCACGTGCCCTAGTATAATAAACCAAAAAAAAAATAACATATTTTATATTTTCCTCAATGCCTATTATTATTTTATCTAATATTCAGCGCAAACCGCGTTGGCACGACACTGGATGACCGGGCGTTGAGCGACGTTCCGATAATTCCGAAATTAAGTGGAAGATGGGCACAGTAAATGTGTGCCTCTGTTGTTTTCTCTCTCATTATGATGCGAAAAACAAGGACAACGACAATACCGCTTAGCAAGAGACGAACACATGCGATGGATTATACGTCCTTATCGTGACGTGCTGTACCCATGGCACAGATTACCTAGACGAGATACGAATGTACTCAGCGGCATCTTCACCGGCTCCCTCACAAAGGCGATGCTGGTTTCGGCTTAAGGTGCGCGTTTGTTGGACCATGATAATTTATTTATTGTGATTACGAAAAAACGTTAGTTGGACCATTGGAATAGTTAAGAAATAAAACTACAAAGAAAAATAACTTTTTTTATAAAGCAGTCAAAAATATGATGAAAAAAAAATCAATAATATTTATAAATGGGACAAAGTTTTAATTTTTCTTTTGGTTTTGTCTGACTTTTTCGAGGATTTTAAATCTCTGTTTGCATATTTAAGAGTATAAAAAATTCTGAGTCTTATAAATAATTTAATGGTGTACATTTTCGCAAATTGTTGGCAAGGATGACCAAATTCTATTTTGCTCATCTCAAAAAGGTATGCGTTGGAAATTCCAGGCTTAGTTGACAAACTATCAAATAGAGATATATTTTTTTTCTAATTTGAAAATATAAAAGAGAAATTTTTCGCTGGGAGATTTTAAATTGCCAAACACCTTTTCTTCAGAGTCGTATGCTTTAAAATGCGTTAACAAGTTAGAATTGTTAAGTAAATTGCATTCTTCTGAGAAATTTACGCAAATTTCGCAAGAGTGGATATGTAATGATTTTTTGATTAAATAGCCACATACATAGTTAAATGCATTTTGAGTGGTCACATTTAGCTCCCTGTAGTCACATTCAGAAATCGTTATTGCCCAACTGATTGTTTCGAAATATATTTAATTTTCATTAAGCGTAGAACTTGTTTTCCTAAGGGAAAAACGAATCCCTGGATTCCTTTCCAGTGTGTGCCCCACTGCCGCTAGTGCCCACGAGCCGCCACTGAATTTGTGTTTTACTCCACGACTTCAAGATTTTATTCATTTATTGCGTTTTTCACTGGAATCTTCAGTGCGTTCTGAGTGTATTCTCACTATCTTCTTTTCTATATCGATAAACAATGACACAAATATACTTAGTGCGAACTGCCAGTGCCAATTGAGAACTCCATATATTAAAAATAAATATAAACTACTTTTTTACTACCTGCATACAATAATAAAAAAAATAGAAATGTATATGGTAACTTCAATGACAGAATGGTTTGTTTTTGTTAAAAGTTAAATGTCAGTGGAACATAAATTACGCCACACTATACAACGTATTCTAGAGTCAAAAATAAGTCAGTCATTCCTAACTTACCTATATTCAAAAATAGGGATCCGAAATTAAGATCGCAGCGCCACCTAATAACCACTTATTTATACAGTATGTTAACTTTAGAATCCTGAATCCAGGAGAACGATATAAAAAAAATAATACCATTGAATAGAGGAGAAATATACCTGCTATCTCATTATCGCGGTAAAGGTGTAATCATGTTTTTAAACCAATCACGCAGGCGAAAAGCGAGTTTCATACTGACAATATAATAAATTCTGTCATTCCTGAGAAAGTACTTGAGGCGAGTGATGTTCTCTTAAATTTAAAATTTTAATCTAAAATAAAATGGATTATATGAACGAGGAATATTTCCAAATTGTTATCTGGCACAATAATGGCAATAGTATTTCTCAAAAACTTGCATTTTATTTGTAAGATATTACCCATAACTACGTAACTTTCGCCATGTTAAACAATTCTTGGAGTACTAAAACTTGTGCTGTGCTATGATCGCTGACTGCGGGCGGCAATATACCCTCCTTGTAACCGAAAGGGCGTAGTTAAACAAGTTTCACTCTTTATTTCTCGTCCAAGTATAATTTAGCGTCTGACACAAGGGGGGCGCCGGCTGCTTTAGGTGAGGACGTTTTAATTTTTTAGAAGTTTGCCACAAAAGGGAGTAGCGTTGGTTTATATAAAATACAAGATGAGGACCTTTCACTAAAAAGGATCTAAGTTTTTGTTTTTTAGAAATGTGATATCAAAAGGGCTTAATTTTTTTTTATGAAATTGTCCCTGGACACCACCTGGTTATCATACTGTATATTATAAGATCTTTATCATGGAAACTGCATCACAGCATATAAAACAACCAGCAGTATTACTCCCCCATTTTTTCGCATCTGAGCAGTTCGCCGCGCAAGACGTTGCTCGATTTAGAACCTTTCTAAACAAGTCAGTAGCGGATGTGATTGCATGGGCGAGAGGTTAGATTTATTTGTTGTGTTTATTCGTTTGTGTTTAGATGCCAGTGGCGGAGTTATTTTTATAGTTTTAAACCTTTAGTATTAACTTTTATTTAGTATTAGTATTATTAGTTTATAGAAATTAGTGGAAAACATTACAATATGACTTGAAGCCAAAATACGGTATGGTTTGTGCTTTTTAAAAATAAACAATCATGCGATTCCTTAATAGTATTTATTTATAGTTTTTTTATTCAAAATATAACAAAAGTATAGAGGGGGTATTTACGAACTTACTTGTTGGTGACTTAATCTCTGTAGGCCAAAATTAATTAAAAAACTAAAAATTTGTTGTGTCCTGTGGCCGAGCCTTACCCTGGTTATAGAACTCTTATCAGGAGATCGTATGAAGGTGTAGGATTGAAAATGGTGAATTCTGTAAAATAAATAATATAGGCTTAATAAGTTTTTCTGTAAACAATATCATTGAATTTTTAAATGAACAATTTGTTAAAGGCTAAAGTTACTCTATTTTTAATACTTTTAGATCGTGTTGAATATTTTGTCAAAGTCTACAGAGGATCACTTGATAAATTGTTTTTTACAGGGTGTTTATAAACTTCGTCCTACATTTCCTAGGTAATCTATTTTATCTTACTTATTATCTTTATATGTATACTATACTACTTGCCCTTTGCACAACACATAGGATAAAAACTATTTCAAAAATAGAGATAGGGAATATTCGTAACCTGGAGGAGAAAATTGAGATAGTAATGCTGAAATTATTGAAATCATCCGGTCCAGGTCATGATCAGCCTAAGTTAATAACACCTTTCTTTAAAAAAAAACCTGATATGTGTCGCATCGGTATTATTGTTTTATATTGAGAACACTAAATTAATAAGAGGTAATTGAAAAATAAGTAATTACACATCGCAAGCCTTACCATGCAGCATCCTATCAGACTGTTTCAAGGTGGATAAAGAAAATGTTGAATAAAGAAGGCACTGATACGAATATTTCTTAAGCTTATAGTATTTAAGGCATGCCGCTTATTCAGCAGCATTTACAGCTGGAGTTAACATAGAAACGATTAGAGCTGCAGCCGGTTGGTCAAAGATTTCCCAGGAATTTTATAAAGTTTATAACAGGCCGCTTATCAATGACAATGAACTAGCTAGAAATATTAACTCCTGATTCACAAATTAAAATCTAAAGTTTGTTTAATTTTAGAGATAAGCCTAATGTAATATAAACACATCTATTCGTATTCTGATATGGTATTAGATGATAATTAAAATAGTTAAATAAAACATATAATTTGTTATTTTGTACTCTTTTTTGTATTATTTTCAATGGAATTGTAACAGAATGAATAAGAATTTTGATAAAATGTTATCAGTATAAGGACTTTAATTAAAAAAAGGGCATCGAAGAATATCGCTCCCGTGATTTAAAAATCTACATGTTTGTTATATTGGGACCAGACTAGGAAGTATAATTTAATATTAAACGACTTACCTGTAAGGGAGTTCAATCGTAATTATACGAGTAGTCCGGTCCGCATATAACATCCCTCCCTTTAATGTAAGGGCTTACTTTTATACATTACCCAACCTGCAAGGTCGCGATTAATAAAACGCGTAATGAAGTATGACCAGTATGGGTGATGTGATGGAACAGGAAATTATTTTGTTTTCTTTAAAAATAGCGTACGCTTGCATAAAAAGAAGCAAAAATAGTGTACGCTTGCATAAAAAGAAGCAACTATATGTGTGTTCTATGCGGACCGGACTAGTCGTATAATTACGATTAAACTTCCTTACAGATAAGTCGTTTAATCTTAAATGATATGACCTGCATTACTATTTTTTGTACGACCTAAAATTCAACAATAAATAAAATAATAGCATTGTTGGTCGCGTTGTTCTAGCAGATACGTCCATTCAAAATACGGCTTTTAAAAAATAAACAATCATGCGAATCCTAAATAGTATTTATGTATAGTTTTTTTTATTCGAAATACAAAAAAATATATAATTAATAAGTTATTCAGAAGAATCATTATTTTCTATATCAGGATTAAGACATTTGTCGCAGATTGTTCTATCATGTATTTATGTACTTATCTAATTAGATTATTTTGTGGTAACAAATTTTGAAATTAAGAATTAGGGTCA